AAAAAAAAAAAAAAAAAATTGGGCATGTTCTTGGGCAGTGCCTGTGGCTCAAAAGATTAGGGCACTGGCCCCATATGCCAGAGGTGGTAGGTTCAATCAAACCCAGCCCCAGCCAAAAGCTGCAAACAAACAAAAAAAGGCATTAGCAAAAATTGCCAGGTGCTCCAGAATGTTATACACTGCAAAAATAGTAATGAAGAATGAAAAATTCCTACCATTTTAATCAATACAAAAAAACTTCATGATCACATGGTAAGGATTTCCAACCAAGCTGCTTAGCCAAAGTGAGTACCATCAAGTTTAAAGTACAAGTACAAATTAATTTAAATACTGCAGTATAGGATGTGTTTTTCCCTATTAAATTCAGATTTCTGCAAATACTGTGTTAATTGAATTCTTTTCTTAGAATTGAACTACATGCTTAATTACTTAACATCAAGTATAAAATAGAGTCTAGCTGTAATTATTAAACATTACTAAGGATAAAGCAAATTATAGAATCTGCCAAATTTAGAAGATCTTGTGACTTCTGTAGTCATTTCTTTCACTGTGCTACTAAATCTTTTGCTTCAGATTATTCATCAATTCAATATATTGTATACCTCAAATGGGAAATCCATGGTTCAGATTATTGCTATAGAATAAAGTATAAATTTGGGATTCTAATGCTTGCAAGCAAACTTGCAAGCACTACAGCCACAGCACTACAAAATGTCATGAGGATTAACTTTCAGACATAAATGTCACAACTGGAATTTTATTTTTTGTAGAGATTAGATCTGGCTAAGTTACCCAGACTAGTCTCAAATTCTTGGTCTAAATTGATCCTCCATTAGGGGCCAGACAGGAGGAAGCCACATTATCAAATGTAATCTAAAAACTCACTTTTAAGGCCTACCTTCAACTGCAGACATCATGGTCAAGATAAAGGCCTTTAAGGAAAAACAAAACAAAACTATTTTGGTATGTCCACATGAAATTAGAATACTAAATTATTATAGCTGATATTTCTCTTATGTCCTACCATTTTTTTTTCTCATTTATTTAGAGTCAGGATCTTGCTGTCACCCACCATAACCCTGAAAATCCTGGGCGCAGGCAATTCTCCTGCCTCTGCCTATATAGCTAGCACAAGTACATGCCACCACACTCAAGGTTTCTAATTTTTTATGGAGAGAAATATATAAGCCACTGTGCCCTGCCAAACCCCATCACTTTCAACTATCTCAGAGAACATGATATTCCTTCTTACATGTATCAAAACTCATACTTAGCAATGAGTTCTGGGTTGCAAAAGAGGATTTTTTTTTTGCACCTGTCTCTAAGTCTTTGTCCACAGTTAGACAAAAACAAACACAAGTGCCGTCATCAATACAGTATCTACAGCATAGTAGTCTACAGTGGTTATTATCAAAATAAAGAACATGGTAGTTGAAAATAGTATTACAACTATTCTAGATATTTGGGGAAGAGAAAATTAAGTTCTCATTCAATACTAAACATCCAACAAGTCAAAACATTTCAGATACCCACAAGAAGTGTTTGATTGTTGATTTTATCTAAGATTTTCTTTTCAAAATTAGCATTTCTGCACTTGTTTCAGTGCTCAAATGACACCTGGAAGCACTTACTCAGAAAATAAGGACTGGCAAAAAATTTGCATTTTTTATTATTCATAGGTGATAATTTCTCAGCATTACCTATTTTCTTTGTGTTTTACAATTTACTAATAATTCTTATTCATTCCAAGTCTCACAAACATCACCGGTTGTTTTTAAATGTTTTTGGTTTTCTAATGTTCTTCATTAAATAATTTCTTCACCACAAGGCCAGTGTATACATCCACATTTATCTGTAGTTGTTTCTATGAAAGTCACTTCACTATACTGTTTACCTTCTTGTACATTTATGTTCCGTTCTCCTTTTCAGGCCGTGGTGTCCTCTGTCCAATGCTTCTGGCCCTTGTAGCTCTCTTTTTAGACAAAGCAGCTTCTTTAGTACCATTATTTTGTTCTAAATATACATTGATCTTCCTTGGGAAATCAGAACTTATTATGAAACTACTATCTGCCTGCATTAAAAAAAAAATAAGATACCATTAAATAACTAGAGTGGGTTAGTAAATAACCTAGAGACTACATTGGAACGTTAAAAATCCAAATTAATATCTGTTTATTTTCTCACTTGAAATCCTAATATCACATATTAAAATTTTATTTAGTATTGAAAAGCCCATGTTCTCATTAAAGTATCCAAAAAGTTAATATTTTTATTCTTGCATTTTCTAGAAAGCATTAGTTCCTGAGATTTCAAAAATTAAATGGAGTATAAGACAAAAGGAACAAGACAATTCCTCTGTACTAACTCCTATATTCCCACAATGAAACAGGGAAAAAACACTTACTCCCAAAGTGATATCACATTCACCATGTGCTGCATCCTCATCCTCTGCTCTGCAACATCAAAATGTGTCACTTAGATAACAGAACCTTCTACAATCTAATTAACTGTATACCCTGTTGTGACATATAACTGAATCAGTACTAGTCAAGGTAAACAGAAGATGACAGAATAGAGTAACCTCATGTCTTTATTAATAATCCCAACTGCCCTATTCTGTGTTCAATATTAAATCAAAGTATTAAATAAATGGTGGCAAAATACAGAGCAATGAGCAGTTAACATTAAAATTTAGGTATCTATAACCAAAGTTATTTAACATGACTCAACTTACACTGACTCTTCAATAGGAGAAATGGATCCATCATCATCCAAATACTTGTATCTACGACTATCAAAATCTTCCTTTTCTAAATCTTCACCAGCATCCATTTGGTTCAAAGATTCTTTAAGATAGTGCTCATACTTCAGTTTTTCGATATAGTTGAAAAATCCTCTTGCAACAGCTTGCTGTATGTTAAAAACACCATATTTTGTCACAGCTTTGCAAAATTAAGATTTTTTTTCATAATCCAGCAAATGTCTTCAAGAATACAAATAAGCCCCCTACTAAAGAATGAAGTAGCTATCCTCATATCACTGTTCTGTATCTGTGGACAACTCCTAATACAGAAAAAGTTCACATGGCAGTTATCATCTTACCAAGGATGTTATCAAGCACAAATCTTGTGTACTAGAATTACTAAAAGCAAAATTTCTTCTGTTTATTACAATCACCTTAAACTTAAGACATTATTAAGTATTAATCCTCTTAAGCTACAGGTTCTGGCAAGGGATTATAAATTAATATATTCACTCAAGAGCCAATGCTCAAATATTTGAATAGTCTACTGCTAAGTATTGAGTATTTTATCAGATAATTCTACCAGAAAACAGGCTTTAAGAAAAGATCAACTGAACACAAATGAATATGTAAATTTAACTTTAAAACTGCAAAAAAGTTATGAGTTTCAGGGTTTAAAGAGCTGGGATAGGATGAAGTCAAGAGATTTTTATACTGTATAAGCAGTCTTAGAGCATTCTGAAAATTCAGCAAAGGTAATTTTAACTGAAGAGATGCACAAATTAAGATTCCACCCAGAGGGCCTGGTGTGGTGGCTCACACCTGTAATCCTAGCACTCTGGGAGACCAAGGCCCATGGATTGCTTGAGCTCAGGATTTCAAGAGCTGCCTGACCAAGTCTCTAAAAATAACTAGGTGTTGCGCTGGGTGCCTGTAGTCCCGGCTACTTGGAAAGCTGAGGCAAGAGGATCGCTTGAGCCCAGGAGTTTGACGTTGCTGTGAGCTGTGATGCCACAGGCATCCTACCAAGGGTCATGGGTGGTGACAAAGTGAGACTATCTCAAAAAACAACAAAAAAACCCAGATTCTACCCAGAAACTGCAATGACATTTGACCTAAAGGACTGAATAGACTTCAGAAGTCAGAGTAGACGAGTATTATCAAAATTGCAAACTGTTTGTTTTTTAATGACAGCCTGGAAAGAATTGATAGACCAATTCTAAAAGTGGCAAAGTATCATTTAAAACATTTTAGCTGTGAGTATCCATATATATTATACTGACTCACCTCATAAGTTAAAATTTTTCTCCAAGGTAATGGTTTTCCTTCATTCTCTGATTCCACAAATGGGAACCCAGGTCCTTTGTTAAATAGTTTCTTATCTGTTCGTGAACTTCTTGTATTTTTCCTTCCTTTTGGTCTTCCCCTTTTTCTTCCTGTTGGTTTGTATTTCCTCTTTTTACGTTTATGTTTCCTATTCTTATATCTATCAAAAATAGCTTTTAAAGTCACTGGTTCTATAGATGAGTCACTTGATGAATCTCTTGCTTCAACACTTTCAGGCAAAGGAACAAATTTTCTAATGGAGCTTCTTTGCCTCTGTTTAGGTGAGTAAGGAACACACTGTGTTGTAAATAAGCTGCTACCAGAAGAGTTATCACTAGAAAAATGGGAAAATTAATGTCATCTTTTTGTCTTACTGAATAATCATTACTAATAATAATCCCAAATGTATATTTCTTCCAGGACTAACATAGGAATTAACATGCCTGGAATTAAAAATTGTTTAGAGAGGCCTGACTCAAGCAGCTAAGGCGCTAACTACATACACCTGAGCTGGTGGGTTCAAATCCATCCCTGGCCCACCAAACAATGACGCTGCAACCAAAAAATAGCTGGGGTTGTGGCGGACACCTGTGGTCCCAGCTACTTGGGAGGCGGAGGCAAGAGAATCGCTTGAGCCCAAGAGTTGGAGGTTCCTATGAGCTGTGATGTCACAGCACTCTAGCCAGGGCGACAGCTTGAGAGGCTCTATCTCAAAAAAAAACCTCAGTACCATTGAAGCCTGACCTCCCAATCTAAAATGGCCCATAATCTCCTAACACTTTTTTTTTTTTTGAGACACAATCTCAAGCTGTTCGCTGTGGGTACAGTACTCATGCCATCATAGCTCACAGCAGCCTCAAACCCTGGACTCAAGAAATACTCTAAAAATACACATTTTTAGTAGAGATGAGGTCTCACTTTTTGCCCAGACTGGTCTCCAACTCATGAGCTCAAGCGATCCATCCCCCTTGGCCTCCCAGAGTGCTAGGACTGCAGGCATGCGCCTGGCCTTATCATAACACTTATTAAATACTGAAATTTTACTTTCAAGATTATAATCTCCACAAATGCTGTTTGCTTCCCTGCTAACAGGCTCTACTAAAAATAAAACAAACCCACTAAACATGAACAGTACACTTTAGTCTTGAAGAGTTATCAAAATGACCCAGATAACATACTGTTTTCCCTAAGCTAAGAATGTTTTCCACTATAATATAATCAGATGTTGACTTAAAAGTACTTTTTTTTTTTTGGTAGCTTTTGGCCAGGGCTGGTAATCTGGTCTTCCTTCTTTACCGAATCCAGCAAATTAACCAACCTGTACTGTCACCCAGTAGATATAATTTACACTTTTCTGTAAATTCAAATACAGTATATATTATTGAATATACTAAGTTTATCAGTAAAAATCACTTACCTTTGATTTTCAATTTCCATAGATGAATCCAAGGTCACCTTGTCAAGAGAATCCATTCCTGACTCACTCATCACTTGCTTTCTTTTAATTTTTTGTTTTCTGAAATCATGTAATTTGGTAAATGTGATAGAGCCTCTTTAAGTACGTACATGTTGATGCACATAGCTATTAACTAGAAAATTCAATGCAGTCAGACTATGCCACCCCATGTGAATTTAGGCAAAAACCATTTATAAGGATTTTAAGCTTTTCTAGAGCAGTCCACTTTAAGAGCAATCTCTAACGAAATGCTACAAACTGCATTCACAGCTTCTCCTTCAGTTTTTACACTCTAAACCCACTCAATGCAATGACATTCCAGAAAAGTACTCATCACAGCTCACAGCAACCTCAAACCCCTGGACTTAAGGGATCCTCTTGCCTCAGCCTCCCAAGTGGCTAGGACCACAGGTGTCCACCACAACACTGAGTATTTTTAGAGATGGGGTCTCCCTCTTGCTCAGGCTCCTCTCAAACTCCTGAGTTCAGGCAATCCACCCACCCCGGCCTCCCAGAGTAGTAGGATTACAGGCCTAAGCTACCACACCCAGCCCCCAAAGCAATCTTTTAAGAGCAAATAAAAAATGGTTTTATTGCTAATGTACAATTATAATAATGCAAGAGGGTGAACATAAAGTTCATGTGAAAATTACTATGTTACAACTATTTTAAATTGCACGTGAACTTTATGTCCACCCTGTATGATGGCTAAGAAAAGTTCTTATACAGAAAACCACAAAAGACATAGACCCTTTGCATACCAGAAAAATTATCTCCATTTAATAGATAAGGATCCTTTGAACACAGTAGTTTGGGACCAGCCTGAACAAGAAGCATCCTGTCTCCACTAAATAGAAAAATTAGACATGCGTCCCACTGGGTGCCTGTAGTCCCAGCTACTCAGGAGGCTGAGAGGGAGGAGGATACTTTGAGCCCAGGAGTTTCAGGTTGCTATAAGCTAGGTTGACACCAGGGCACTTTAGGCTGGGGCAACAGAGTGGGAGTCTTGTCTTCAAAACCCACAAAAACAGTGTTAGAGCTACTACCTCCTTCATATTTACTCCCAGTTTTAAGTAACTTAACCATCTTCCTCGTCACATCTTTGCCATTACAGCTGCAAAAGCAGAGTTCTGAATTGTCTACCTTTTCAATTAAAAACTAAAACTACAAAGATTCTATGTCTTCATCTCCATGTGAATATAGAACAGTCAATAAAAAGAAAAATTAAAAGTAACTATTTCAGTATTTCATCTCCTTTAGTCATTCTTTTTGTATTTTCCTTAGCCATACTTGCGAGATCGACATAGAGTCCTAACCAATCCTGACAAATTAGCAAAATATTTCAAATATACGGAAACAGTAAGGTTTGCCAAATGCCCAATGGCTCGATATTGTAATTTCCTGGGATAATTTATTAGCTTTCTTAAATAAAAAGTCTAAGAACTAAGCATCAATTGCTAAAAAAGTAAAACAATTTGGTCCAGTGGCACTAATGGTTTGACGTTATTAGATTTTTTTTTAGACAGAATTTCATTATGTCACCCTCGGTAGAGTGCCGTGGCGTCACAGCTCACAGCAACTTCCAACTCTTGGGGGGGGCTTAGCCATTCTCTTGCCTCAGCCTCCCGAGTACCTGGTACTACAAGCACCTACCACAATGCCCGGCTAATTTCTGTTGCAGTTGTCATTGTTTAGCAGGCCCAGGCTCGGTTCGAACCCGCCACCCTTGGTGTTTGTGGCTGGCGCCGTAACCTCTGTGCTACCGGCGCGGAGCCACGTTGTTAAGATTTTTTTATAAAAAAATAGATTATTAAAATTAAGCTGGCTCAAAAACCACTTTTTCGGAACCAGTTTGTTAAGTATTCCTCCTCAAAGGTTGCTTCCTCTTCTGGGATTCCGCGGTTTTCAGAGGCCACGTGGCCAGATAGCCACAGGTACAGACAGTGGCTAAAGCACTGGTGACCTCGTCAAGTCTCTCTGGGTAGCAAAACCACGCAAGGAAAAGGGAACCAACGATGGTTACCTCACTTGCGAAGACTGAATTAGCATTTAACTTGTGTACAATACATTTTAACAGCTACATCTCAGACACAACGAACTAAGCATCCACGCGGGCCTCAGTCACCCGCAGGCCCACGGCCCGATCCTCGGAACCACGCGGGGGAAACCCAGCGCAGCACGGGCCGCCATGTTCTCTCCGCTCCCCGCCCAGGCCGCTCGCACCAGGGGCCGCCATAGCCCGGGCCCGGCCGCGCGCTTGCTGCTCGCAGCCCAAGCCTCGGCCCAGGATGCCCGACTGACTCGGTGCAGGAGTCCCTGGAGGAGCGTACCCGCCACCCTCCCGACCTCAAATCCACCAGACCCAAAATCGGCCTACCTTCTCCAACTGCGCCGAAGTAAAGACCGAACCGCCTCCACCACCCAGCTAATAGTGGAGCTGAAGTCTCGCGCGAGAATTTAGCTCCCGGGAAGAAGGGCGGAGAAGACGTGCGGCGCGGGGGGCGGGGCGTGGTGAAGAGGGCGTGGCCTCGGGTTCGGCTTAAAGGGGGCGGAGGCGGGGCGGCAGAGGTTGGGGTCCAGGTGTCGGTTTCCCGGACTTCCTCGGTGAGTGGAATGGCGTCGAGCCTTTCGGCGAACGACTAACGGAAATTCGGCTGTTAATTGAGCAGAATGGGTATGCACTGTAAGGAAACAGCCTCTCAGCCCGGTTTGTTTCTGGTGTGCTCGCACTTGCTGAGCTGTGGACTGGCTTTCTGAAACCTGGCTCGGGGTGTGGGTGTGGGGGGCCGTTTGTGTTTTGCCATGCTCTACTTTTGCCTTCAGAAATCTCTTCTGTTTTGAAATATTGAGGAATGCTCATACTGTGACCGTGAACTCCAAATGTGTAACCTTTGTCCTGGATGCCAGTGTCACTACATCGCACACCCAGTTGTCCTCCCCACCTTTGGACTTGTTTTGGTTGCTCAGCCTTTCGCTAAGGGTCTGCCTCTTGCGGGTTGGTTTAACAAATCACCCGAGAAGCCAACTGGAAGTTTTTTCTGCCCATTTCCCCGCCCCGTCCTCCCATAAGTTCCCTGACCCATTACTGAGTTAAAAGACAATGTTAACTAGTTTTAACGGGGTTTCCGCCAAAAGTAATCTGAAAAACGAATAAACTCATTTAATATTTTTCCACTTTCAGACCTGTTATCATATGATAAACCAGCAAAACTTTCTGGTTCTAATTTATAGATAACATCATTTTAGGATTGGACAGGCTTTGCAGTAATCTGGTCTCTTTACCCAGTTTTGCTCCAATATAAGAACAATTCCGGGGATAAAAAATTCTGAACCTGCTAGGCGCTATGGCTCATGCCACTAATCCTAGCACTCTGGGAGGCCAAGGCGGGTGGATTGTTTGAACTCAGAAGTTCAAGACCGGCCAGAGCAAGATCCGGTCTCTAAAAACAGCCGGGAGTTGTGGCGGGCGCCTGTAGTCCTAGGTCCTTGGGAGGATGAGGCAAGAGAATCACTATAGCTAAAGAGTTTAAGGTTGCTGTGAGCTTATCATATCATGGCACTCTACTTAGGGGACTGAGACTCTGTCTCAAAAAAAAAAAAAAAAATCCAGTCCTATAGGCCACTCACTTCATTCACAGGATCTGTGCAATGACTGTAAGCTCCACATCATAATCACATCTTATTCACTGCAATATTCAAGAACAGGCCCACCTGTGTAATTTGTGGAGCTCAGTGCAAAATAAAAATGCAAGGTCCTTTGTTCAAAGAGGAGGGAAAAGAACCATGACAGGTACTAAAATAGAGCTTTCCACTGTGGTAGTGCTTTCGACTAGTCATGGTGTTTTTTATTAGCATAAATTGTACCTTTTACTTTACATTGCGCCTGACCAATTAATTAAATCGGGAGGGTGAATATTGTTTGCCTCCCATCTGTCCCAAGGCTTTACATCTGGAGCCACTCTGAGTTTATGGGAGAACCTTTTTAACTCCTTTCTCCTATCACTTTAACTCCAAACTCTCCACACCTGCTATACACACGTTAAATATGTGCATACTGTACTGGCATACTGCCACGAATACATCACATTTTAAACCAGTTATGCAAGCTGCAGCCTCTAAGATTTGGACTTTGTTTCTATTTTGGTGGGGATGTAGAACAAGCAAAAATAACCCATCTTTTTTTTTTTAGAGATTGTAAAGGGTATAAATTAAGATTATATTTGAATTTTAACTTGAGTTCTTTTCCTACTGTAAGCAAAAATATCTAAAGTGCTTTTTTTTTAATTGAATGTGCTATTCATTGTGCAGATTTTGAATGTTCATAAATAAGTTAGTATCTGCTGGTTGCCTGATACAGTATGTGATAAAATGTTAGCAATCAGGAAATCTGGGTGAAGAGTATATAAGAATTATTTGTGTGTAATATCTGTCAATCTGAAATTATTTCAAAAGAAGTTAAAATACCTCATTCCTGAACAATTATAGACTATTCAAGTCAAAACTATAAGGTAACTGAAGTATGCTTATTTAGGATTTGGGCCTCATTTTCAGCAGTTATTTATATTTGGGAGATCAGATTATGTATATTAAATAAAAGAATAATAAAAGCTGGTATTTGATAAAGTGCTAAAGTAAAGTCAGAACCTAAATGTATGCAGTAGCATGTTTGCAGAGGATTATGTTGTTGGAAAGTATCACCAAAACTAGAAACCCAGTTTCTAGGAAACCTGTGAAAATTTAAAATTTAAAAATTTGGAAAAATGGCTCAGCGCCTATAGCTCAAGCGGCTAAGGTGCCAGCCACATAGACCAGAGCTGGCGGGTTCAAATGGTTCAAATGTAGCCTGGGCCTGCCAAACAATAAGTATAACCAAAAAATAGTTGGTCATTGTGGCGGGCACCTGTGGTCCCAGCTACTTGGGAGGCTGAGGCAGAGAATCACTTAAACCCAGGAGTTGGAGGTTGCCGTGAGCTGTGATGCAGGGTGACAGCTTAAGGCTCTGTCTCAAAAAAATAAATAAAAATTAAAAATTTGGAAAATTAAAAAATTATTTTGGAAGAATATTTTCTCAAATGATGCTGAAAGAGCACTTTTCACTTGCTGGTGAAACATGTTACAGCCAGAGACTATTCAGATTAATGAGATGTTCTATTCATTTTAATGAAAGAAAAATTGTAACGAGAACTACAAGGGTGCTCTTTGAATTGCCTGGAAGAGTTTTGTCTGTATTCCTTGTTGTGATTGGTGTAGAGTGGGATTCCCCCACCCACCTCAAATTACTTTTTTTTCCCCCTTCCTTTTATTCATCTCCCTCTGCTTGCACACTTCATCAACTGCATGCTTGAGGTAAGATACTAAACTCTGTGTATGGATACCTACTTACTAAAAACATGCTAAGTATACTTTATAATATCAAATTATAATGGGTTAGAGTATCAGAATAATGGATCTTTATTTTTTAAATGAAAATAAAAAGTTTGAATTTCAGAAGCTAATCATTCCATAGAAGTTTCCATTCCTATTAATAATTTAAATTTTTTATCAGAAAAGTAATAGTTGGGCCAGGAGCAGTGACTCACACTTGTAATCCTAGCAATCTGGGACACTGAGGGGGTGAGAGTGGATTGCCTTGAGCTCATGGGCTCAAGACCAGCCTGAGCAAGAGCAAGACCCTGTCTCTAAAATTAGCCAAGGTGTTGTGGAGAGCGCCCGTAGTCCCAGCTACTTGGGAGGCTGAGGCAAGAGAATCACATGAGCCCAAGAGTTTGAGGTTGGTGTGAGCTATAATGTTACAGCACTCCACAGTGGGTGAAAAAATGAGACTCAGTCTCAAAAAAAAAGAAAAAAAGTATAACTTGTTTAATGTTTAGCCTAAATATCAAATATGGAATAGAAAACACAAATTATTAGAAATACATGAGCGTCCTCTACATACTGTTATTTACAACCATTTAAACACTGCTTTAAGATCTGTATTCCTTATACCAACCATTAAAAAATTCCCTGTTGGCTCAGCACCTATAGCTCAACCGGCTAAGGCGCCAGCCACCTACACCTAAGGTGGCGGGTTCGAATCCCCAGCCCGGACCCGCCAAACAACAATGACGGCTGCAACCAAAAAATAGCCGGGCGTTGTGGCCGGCGCCTGTGGTCCCAGCTACTTGGGAGGCGGAGGCAGGAGACTCACTTGAGCCCAGGAGTTGGAGGTTGCTGTGAGCTGTAATGCCATGGCACTCTGCCCAGGGGGACAGCGTGAGGCTCTGTCTCCAAAAAAAAAAAAAAAAAATTCCTTGTTGAATGCAGACATACGACTACAGAAAATGAATCATATGTGCCTGCTTGGTTTGATGTTTCCTCTTGTCAACCTATTTTAAATGTTAACCATTTAAAGTATCAGTATTAAAAGAGGTCATTTGCCCGTTCTTAACTTGAGTCTTAAATGCTAGAAATGAGAAACCTAAATGCTAACCAGGTTTAGTGGTAGGTGCGTTAATCTCAGCCACTAGAAGGAGGCTTGAGGTGCGAAGATACCCTGAGGGCAGCAGTTCAGACCACCCTGGACAGAATTGAGAAACCTCTTTAAAACAAACAAACAAACCAAAACCCAGAAAACAACTAAATGCCCTTTTGCCTTCCTTACGTGTCTCTCTTTTTTTATTTTGTTTTCTTCTCCTTATGTGTCTCTTAATGTTCCCTTCCAGAGGAGCAACTGTTCATGCTGAGATAACAGCAACCCTGAACTCCTGTGATAATTAACCAAGAATCACTTTATTTGTACAACCTCACTTACGAAGAAGAAAATGGCTTTTGCTGAGTTTTCTTTTCATGTGCCAAGTCTGGAGGAGCTTGCTGGAGGTAAAAATAATAACTTTTAATTTTTAAAAATTCTAAGAGAAATATTTCTAAGGATTCCAAGATATGTTATGTCTTGCTACTTACCTATATTGTATAAAAATACTTCTGATACAGAATTCATTTTCCACTTCAGTATCTGTTCTATATTATTTTTATTGAGAAAGTCTAAAATTCTTTCCCTCCAAAAAAAGTAAACTCACCATTTGTAGATTCTTCATGATACCAATTTTACAGGATAAAAACAACTACTATACTAATCTGATATTTAAGTATGTGTGATTCCCAAAGAGTTGCATAATTTTGCTTTAACTTTTTATCAGTTACAATATTTTTAAAACATACAACCTAATGTGTATTTAACATGTTCCCAATATATCCCTTTTCTCCCCTCTCCCTATGTCAGACTCCCTATGCTGGCGAACTTGCCTAGATTTTTCTGTGTATATTTTTATATATTTTACCTTGTTCAAATGAGAATTTAAGGCAACTTCCCAAGGTAAATTGAAAGGAAGGAAGATGGATTTTTTAAAGGGAAAACAAAAATAGGGACATGAGGCTTGGCGCTAGCACAGTGGTTATGGCGCTAGCCACAAACACTCAGGGTGGCCCAGCCCAGGCCAGCTAAACAACTACAACAACAACAACAAAAGAGAATCCCTTAAGCCCAAGAGTTTTAGGTTGCTGTGAGCTGTGACATTTTAGCACTCTACCGAGGGTGACAAACTGAAACTCTGTTTCAAAAAAAAAAAAAAACAAGAACATGGGCATCATGGCACATGCCTGCATTTCTGGTTACTCAGGAAGCTAAGGAAGCAGGATCACTTGAGCCCAGGAGATTGAGGCTGTAGTAAGCCTCAATTAGAATTGTAACACTCCACTTCAGCCTGGGCAACAGAGCAAAATCCTGTCTTTAAAATAGAATTATAATAAAAAATGATGCCAGGAATAGTACTAATGCAAAACCATCAGACTATTGACTTTTGGCAGCCTTTAGGGTCTAGTATCTACAGAACCTTCCCTTATTTTTCAAAAGTGTGTTATCCTGGTACATCATCTGTCCTGATAAGATCAGTGTTAAGAAATGTATGCATTTTTTGCTTTCTTGTGGCTTTCCTCTTATAACCTTCTTGGTTTTGCCCTACATTAAGTGCTGGCTCTTAAGCAATCTGTGTTGCTAGTATTCTTTGGCCTGTATTTCTGTTCTATCAGTCTGTCTTCCCTGATAAAATAGGACAGGTAGGGATATTTTGGGGGGGGGGTGCCTTTTTAGAACCTCTTTTCACTTCCACGTTTCTGTTTCTCTTCTATGGGTACAGTATCTAGTACAAAATAGAAATGTTGTACAAGTTTTTGGCTTAGAATTTATTTTTTACTTTTACTGAAAAGCTTATGGCGAGAACTTAGTCCATTTGTAATTGGTAAAAAATAGCTTTTGCTATATATTTCCACTACAAATCTTATATATTCATAAGCTCACAGTCATTTGTTTAGGTAGGGGGATTTTCTAATCAATATGCTTTTTAATCAAAATATCTGGTATGGAATGTTATATGGCCAGATTTAGGATGAATTTATGTTCTTAGAGTCTGATTCTAAAAGACTGAACTAATGGCTGATACTACTTTGAGAAAATTTTTTTGGAGAGAGAGCCTCAAGCTGTCGCCCTGGGTAGAGTGCAGAGGCATCACAGCTCACAGCAACCTCCAACTCCTGGGCTTAAGCAATTCTCTTGGCTCAGCCTCCCAAGTATCTTAGGTGCCTGCCACAATGCCCAGCAATTTTTTTTTGGTTGTAGTTATCATTGTTGTTTGGCAGACCCAGGCTGGATTCAAACCTGCCAGCTCTGGTGTATGTGGCTGGCGCCTTAGCTGCTTGAGCTACAGGTGCTGAGCCTACTATCAGAAATTTTGTAAGAACTTTTGATGCTTAAAAGTTACTCTTTTATGTTTATAACTGAGTCTGTGGCACCTTGAATGAAAATCATATCTTGTTTGATTTATTAACTGTGAGGTACCTATTCTTTTTACATTTGTATTGAGGTATAACATATCTGCAGTAAAGTACACCTATCTTTTTGTTTGTTTGTTTGAGACAGTCTCACTATGTCATCCTTGGTAGGGTACCGTGGCATCACAGCTCATAGCAACCTCAAACTCTTGGGCTTAAGTGATTCTTTTGCCTCAGCCACACAAGGAGCTGGGACTACAGGCACCCACCACAACACCCGGTTAAAGTACACTAATCTTAAGTGTACAGCTTGATAAATGTTAGAATCTGGTTACCATCCGGAGCAAAATATAAAATATTTCCAATATCCCAGAAGCTTCCTTGGTGCGCCTTCCCCGTCAATATCTATACCTCAAGAGGTGACTACCATGCTGACTTCAGTCACTTAGATCACTTGCCTGTTTTGAATTACATAAAATGAAGTCATACAGAATATACTCTTTTGTATCTGGCTTCTTTTGCTCAACAATTTCTTTATTTTGTCTGGGCAAGGTGGCTTGTCTATAATCCTAGCATTCTGGGAGGCTGAGGCATGTGGATTGGCTCAGATCACAGTTCGAGACCAGCCTGAGCAAGAGCAAGACCCTGTCTCTAAAAATAGCCAGGGGTGGTGGAGGCTTCTGTAGTCCCACCTACTCTACTTGTAGGCTGAGGCAAGAGAATTGCTTGAGCCTGAGAGTTTGAGGTTGCTGTCAGCTATGATGTCACAGCACTCTACCAAGGGTGACAAAGTGAAACTGTTTCCAAAAAAAAATATTTTCACTGAAGTTCTTGCATGTGATTGATTGCTTTTTTTTTTTTTTTTTTTTTTGAGATAGAGCCTCAAGCTGTCGCCCTGGGTATAGTGCTGTGGCATTACAGCTTACAGCAACTTCCAACTCCTGAGTTTAAGCGATTCTCTTGCGTCAGCCTCCCCAGTAGCTGGGACTACAGGTGCCCACCACAACGCCTGGCTATTTTTTGGTTGCAGCATCATTGTTGTTTGGCAGGCCTGGGCTGGATTTGAACCCGCCAGCTCTGGTGTATGTGGCTGGCACCTTAGCTGCTTGAGCTACAGGCGCTGAGCCCATGTGATTGCTTTTTAAACAGTTTAAGTGTTTACATTTCAGTGTGTTTTTTTGTTTTGTTTTGAGACAGTTTTACCTTGGTAAAGTGATTGTCTTGCCTCAGCCTCTAGAGTAGCTGAGACTGTAGGTACCCACCACAGTACCTGGCTATTTTTAGACATGGGGTCTCACTCTGGCTCAGGCAATCTACCTGCCTTGGCCTCCTATATCAGTATGTTTTTGTAATCTCTTCCCCAAAAGGAAGGTGGTCCCTACACAACTGGAAAATGTGTTTAAAAAAATTAAAAAGAAGGTGGTCTTCACCTGAGTACAGTCTGCATATCTTTAATGGTCTGTAATCACCGTAGGTGAGTTATGTTTTGGCCTACTTATTAGACATAATAAATCATAAGCATATCTAATTATATTCCTGTGTAAGACCTCAACCCCTTTTTATCACCCAAGTTTAGATTGGGAGTATGATACACAGAAAAGTTGAGGAAAGATTTGACATGTGGCAGCCAAATGTTTACTTTCTGTTAAATAATCATTTTCTTTGTCTTTATTAGTTATGCAGAAAGGACTGAAAGATAACTTTGCAGATGTCCAGGTCTCTATAGTTGATTGCCCTGACTTGACTAAGGAACCATTTACCTTTCCCGTAAAAGGTAAGTCAGTTTTTGCAATTAGTGTTTTTTCAGTTGTAATCTTTTTCTGAAACCAGAATTATTTTTAAGGGTCATTTTAAATTATCTACAAATAAAGGATACTGTCAGAACTTTTAGGGTAAATCGTACTTAATTTCTGTGCTTACCGTTTTCTGATATTGGTCAAATTTCATTTTATACTCTGTGGGAAAAGATTGTGTTTTATGTACTTTTGTAAACTGCATAGGTTAATAGACATTGAATAGACTAGAATTAGTCTGTACACAGTGGTCCATGTTTGTAATCCTAGTACTTTGGGAGGCTGAAATGAGGGGAGTGTTTGAGGCTAGGAGCTTGAGACCAACCTGGGCAACATAGGGAGACCCTGTCTCAACAAAAAAGGAAAAAAAATAGCCAGGTGTGGTGGCACATGCCTGTAGTCCCAACTACGTGGGAAGCTGAGGCAGGAGGATCCTTTGAACTCAGGCATTGGAGGTTGCGGTGAACTATGATGTTACCATGGCATTCTAGCTCAGGCAACAGAGCGACACCCTGTCTCAAAAAATAAAATGAGATCCTAGCTTGTCATTTTTTATCACATAAAAGTTTTTAAGTGCTCAGGTGATTTATGGAAACTTATTTTAATGTGTATGTTTTTATTTAAAACCAAAAGGAATCTTAAAAGCCTTGTATTTATTTGAATCATGTATGAAATATTTATTACCCTTAACAAATTTGCCAAGTGGTCAATCACCGTTTGAAGTGAGAAGGAAGGGAAATTAAGATGGGTCACCAGGAGGAGATCGTGTGGTTGTCAGCTCAACCTGCTTCTGCAGAAGTGGAAACAAAGCCAAAAAAGGCAGCAGCGAGTGATAAATCTTCAGACAAAAAAGTTCAACGGAAAGGGAAAAGGGGAGCAAAGGGAAAACAGATTGAAGTGGCTAACCAAGAAAATAAAGATTTACCTGCAAAAAATGGAGAAACTAAAACTGAGGAGCGTCCAGCCACCAATGAAGCAAGAGAGAAAGAAGGCAAGTCTGATTAACATCACACACCCTATCTTTTCAGTCGTCCCTGTCTCCCTTCTTTTTTTTTTTTTTTTTTGAGACAGAGCCTCAAGCTGTCAACCTGGG